CAAAGAAAATTAGTACATCAATGTACATTAATTATCACTATGAATTCTTGCTATAAATAGTTGTTGCCCATCTATTTTTTGATTTTTTTTCCATGAGTTTGAAAATTGTTCACGTCTTGTTCTAATCCAAAAATTTTGTTTTGAAGATGATTTTTTAACGAAGCAAGCTTAGGAATTGTATTCTCATTATATTCTATGAAACCATTTAAATTCAACACACAAACCTGAAAATGACATTACTTGCTAAAATAAGTAATATACGGATTGGATTCAAGTACAACCCACTTGGTTTTAATATGGCAAACTCGTTTAATTGCATTATACAAAAAAATATATATTTAATTTTTTATTTTGTTCTAATATTGTATGAATTATTTTGAAATTAATGATTTTTTGTTTGATTTGCTAGAAAGTGGATTAAGTCGATTTCTAATTCATCTCGGATTCAATTTTGTAGCAGATTTTGTATAGCAACAGGGGATTCTAATTTTTGGGTTTTATGTACATGGATTAGCTACATTAATCTAAATACAACACGGATTTGACAATATCATACAATAATACATTTGAATACGATAATAACTTGAAATGATATAATTTAAATATCAATTACATGACTTAATTGTCGGGTCAGTTTATATAAACTTGTTAGACATTCCTAACCAACATAATATAACTAAAGTGGGGTAGGGTTGGGGTGGGGTTGGGGGAGGGGGGGAGTCATACACCTATCTGCCCCTACATCCATCTATTGGCCGTTGTGTAATCCATTGACAAGGAACCATTGAGTGCATCGCTGTGTTGCCGCGGTTACAACCTGGACACTTTGGCTGCTATTTGTGAGGTTTGTGGCTGTCATTTTTTAGAAGTTGACTATTGTACCGAATTTTTTTTTTCTTGTTATCATATCTCAATTTACTATATTTATAAATATTTTTATAATTATTGGGGTATTAAAAAAATGATAAAAATATTTACCACAAAAATAGTAAAAATATGTACAAATGTAATAAAAATATTTACAAAAGTAATAATTTTTTTTTATATTTTAAAAAAATGATAAAAATATTTACTATAAATCATGTAAAAATACCAACAACAATGATAAAAATACTTATATAAGTGATATATTACCTATAAAAGTGATAAAAAAATTTATTATAAACTAACTTATAAAAATTATAAAAATACCTATTAAAATAATAAAAATTAAAAGTACCGTACCGAAAACTTATATCAATCTAAAATTAATCAAGTCCTCAGATTAAATTCTGTACAAGGAAATGACTATGATTATCGGGTAAAGAAAGGAAGCGGGTCAATCAAGGAACCTCACCTGAGCCCAACAAAAAGAATTGATTGCACCCTTATCCCGTGCCCGCTTCGTAAAGAATTCCACATGTCCGGTCAATTGGAACATTTACTTGGTTACTACTTGCCAACCAACATAGAAAAATTAGTAAGTCGGTCAAGTGCTTATTTAACAAGGATTTCCTCCTATACGTCAAGCTTTTAAGCTTCAGCACCTTCCAAACTACTGCTTTGCATCCACAGGATTCATAGATTTTAACTCTAATTGATGGAATAAGGTTGAGATATGGGATTTGACCTAAATTACCTCTTAGTTTGGTTCAATATGCCCCTATTTCGGTGCTATGTGTCCATCAGAGGGGAGGAATTTGGATTGATTGGACGTGGGTTGAAGTTTAACCAATGAATCACAATCCAAAATAGTCCTATGATAAGATTTTTTTTTGTTTTTTATACACACTACGGTTAATGGTGTTTGGATCAATTTATTTGTATCTCAATTAATTTCTTCCTCGATTCGGTGAGAGGCAAACGATATACTCTGAAATTAGAGTATCTATGAAAGATAAATTTCTCCTAATTGACTCTAAATGATTGTCAAGATTCAAATTAAAGACGTCTGAATAGACCTTTGATAAGAATTGAATGGTGGTGGTAGAGAGGGGGAGTGGTGGGCGATGGGTGTGATGATGGTACTGGGGTGGCGGCAAGGGCGGTGGCGACAACGGTAATGATGGTGGTGATTATTATGACAGAGATAGTGTTGGGGGTGGCACTAGTGGTAATGATGATGATGGTGGTGATGGAGGTAGTTGTGGTAATATTAGTGATGGTGATGGTGGTGGAGCGGTGGGGGTGGGGGTGGGGTTGGTGATAGTAGTGGTAATGGTGGGATAATTCCAAACATTACTTCTTTTTTTAAGGTACTTATGAAAAAGTTGTCACAAACACACTTTTAAGAGTCTAATTTTTCTATTAAATTTCAAGTGTTAATATTAGCCGTCAGATTAATTTTATAGTAAAATTTAAAGAAATCTCAACCACAAAAAATAAAATTTATTTTATTTATTTTTAAGATTTGAGAGCATTCTTGCTTTTGGTCAATGCCCAGGTAATGATATTATAAAATCCTAACCGAATCAGGTGGTTTTGAATAAAATTCGAAGGGATTCCAATGAAATAGTTTAATAAAATCTGGATAAAATTATGGTAGCAAAAGAGTACTGTACAGAATATCACAAACGAATAGACATTAGTTTCCTGTTCAAAAAAAAAAAATACACATTAGTTATGATTTGGCTAAGATCAAATTACGTTTAAGAAGAAAAAAAACCATTAAAAACGATCCCAAAATCTTGTAGTAATCGAACTTAAATATTAGGATCAATCTCAATAAATCTTATTTTATTATTATTGAAATGTAATCTCTCTTTTATTTTTTAATATATTCTAATACAATATTAAAAAATAACTATTTGATAACAGTCTTTTGTCGGTTGCTAAATTTGGTTTTTTTTTTTTTCAATAGTCAGTGATGTTCGAACTAACTTATGATTATTTCGATTAATCTCGTCTCTGGTTCGGTCAAAATCAGGTTATTCACATCGAGACTAAAATATTCATAGAAAATAAATTTTCTATAATTTCAAAAAATTATCAAAATTTATATTTATATTTAAAATTAAAAATCGTCCATATTATCATTTGGATTGGCCGCTGAATTTGTGACGAAAGCTGCTTAGAATTTTTACAGCATTGATAGAGAAACTGCGCGGCAAGGTGTCGAACAGTCCTTTGCTATCATATATATGTTATAATATTCATGGTCATGATCCAACCAGCGGAAAGTGTCAATCTGGGGTCGGGTCAAATCTCTTTTTGTTGTAAGGAAGGACTTGATCAAGTCGTGAAGTGTGAACACATAAAATGTGGGCCAAAACTTCTTTTTTTTTTTTTTTGGGTCCAGTCCAAAAACTTTCAACTCCAAAAAAAAAAAAAAAACAACCCACCTTGCAAGTCGTGCATGCATGACACGTGGACGGTTATGGTAGGCGTCCAGACGTGGGACGTGACAGATTGTACACCGCGTGGATTGATATCATATATATAATATCAGATTATTAATTAATAAAAATAATGGAGAAGCCCACAATAATCCCACACATTAAAAATAATATCTCTTTTCTAGATCTTCTAAATCCATGCAAACAATGCAAAATTAGAAGACTCATTAGAGACTCACACGAGTAATCTAGAAGCTTTTCTTCTTCATTTCACTTTTAACACAAGGTGATACATGTATAGGAGATTCGTGTTGTATTTTACAAGATCAAGAGTATGTATATTTTTAAAAAGATTAATCGAATGTTTTACTAAGTTTACTCCACATCTAATTCGAGAGTGTTTTTAATTATAGGTATGAAAATATGATACAATTCGTTAATACGACACGGAATTAGAGAATTTGAATCTTCGTTAACCCACCTGTTTAATAAATGTGTGGACCCGATACGACTCGACATGATTAATAAACGAAACGGGTATTGAGAGAAGCCACTCAAAAGAAATGCATAACACGACTCGTTTATATATTAGTTATATACGGTTTATACACCACACGAACCTGATATGACACAATTCGTTAAACTTAAATTAATAAATGAATCGGATATAGATGAAATATTTTTGGACATAAACCTGCTAAGATTTGACATGAATCCGCCTCACTCGACACAATTAGCAAACTTATTCTAATACATGGTTTATACACATCTAATATAAAGTAGACATACGAGTTATCCTAACCCCCATATGAATGATTTGTCTTTAAACAGACTAAAAATAAAGATTAATTAAGGTATACAGACGTTGATTCAAATATTTCTGATCTATGAATATATATACATATATTTGAAGGTGTTAGACCGATGTTTTAGGGGGATTATTCCGTACAATTTCTTAGCCTTTCTTTTCTTCTCACCCACCATAGACGGTCAATTACACCATATTATTTTACTACACATATGCATGTATTATAGTACTTTACGAGAACAATGGATTATATATGTTAAAGGGTTAGACGCGTACTTATAAATTTTATTTTTATTAATTACAGTGTATTTATAGGAAGACAAAGAATACAAGGTAAGAAGGCTTGTAGAACAAGTTTCTACAACTGGCCACAGAGAATAAAGCCCCACCACCACCTTCCTCGTAAGCGTGACGACTCTGTAACGCAATGGGAAACGTATGTATATGTCAAAAAAAAAATACATTTAAAATATTATTTATATATATATATATATATATATATATAGAGAGAGAGAGAGAGAGAGAGAGAGAGGGAGAGAGAGAAATGTGTTTCCGCGTAGAGGGATGAGATGAGACTGAGGGCACCTGTAGATGAAAAAGAAAGACGGAAGAGCTTTCTTTCTTTGATTTCGTTTTCTGAATTCTAATAGAGCAGCAAAACGTTCCTTTAACACCCTACACCTACAGCAATAGAAATCATTCTTTTTCTCTTTGATGATTCTTTCACACCTTATATTCACACCATGTCCTTCATATAAATCTTTCCTTTTCTCTCTCCACCTATCTTTTTCCTTTGATCTCTCTCTCTCCCTCAATTTGTCTTCTGCCAAGTGATCTTCTAAGCTTTTCTATATATATCTCTATCTCTAGATTCCACCATGGAGGGACTTGGACATCACCATATCGCTGTGAATATTGATACAGGTGGTGATAGGTTTCCTCAATGGAGTATTCAAGAGACAAGGGACTTCTTGATGATTCGGGCCGAGCTCGATCCAACCTTCATGGAAACCAAAAGGAACAAACTTCTCTGGGAAGTGATCTCAACAAAGATGAAGGAAAAGGGTTACAATCGAAGCGCTGAACAGTGCAAGTGCAAGTGGAAAAACCTCGTTACCCGATACAAGGTCCATATCTATATACTATGTTCTTATACAATCACAAACTTTTAATTATCTTTCTTTATGTATATTATTATTACCCATGATTACTAATGGCACAACCAAAAAAGTGGTAGGGCAAACAAGGTTATGTCGGTAGTGCAACACATATGTTTCTGGTACAAAGGCGACGAGGGTTGATGACTCTACTTAAGCCACCCAACCTAGCAGGTCTATGATGGTCCTATCATAGGTTAAAATCCAATCACAGTTCTTATAGATCTCATCCTTTAGTTTACCGGATGATGAAAATAACAAAGCAGAAATTTGAAATGAGCACGAAATGTTCGTAAAAGAATTGTGTCACATTTATTATGTGTGTGTGTATTTTAGGAGACATTTTTTATTGATTTATCATGAAGAATTTGTGCTAATGGGTTTTGTGATCCAAAATAGGGATGTGAAACAATGGAACCAGAAAGTATGCGGCAACAGTTTCCGTTCTACAATGAGCTGCAAGCGATTTTTACTGCAAGAATGCAAAGAATGCTATGGATTGAAGCTGAAGGAGGGGCAAGCGGGTCGAAGAAGAAAGCAGCACAGCTATCTTCCGATGATGAGGATGACAACGATTACAGTGATGGAGATAAAGGAAGCAGTAAGAAAAAAAGGAAGCTTAAGGGTAATATTAACCCTGGTACTAGTAGTTCTAGTAGTGGAATTATCAATAGTGTGAAGGAGATTTTATCGGAGTTCATGAAGCAACAGATGCAAATGGAGATACAATGGCTAAAAGGTTATGAAGCAAGAGAAGAGGAGAGAAGGGTAAAGGAGATAGAATGGAGACAAACCATGGAGGCCTTGGAAAATGAGAGGATTATGATGGATAGGACTTGGAGAGAGAGAGAAGAACAACGGAGGAGGAGAGAAGAAGCTAGAGCTGAGAAGAGGGATGCTCTTATTACAGCTCTTTTGAACAAGCTTAGAAGAGAAGATATGTAGTTAAGCTCTTTGTTTTTCTTGTGCTATTAGAAGAGGAAAGCTATGGGAGAGGTTTGTCTTGAAACTCTCTCATCTCTGAAAAATTTTGTTATATGGTATCTGTGAGATGATCTCCTCCTTTAAACTTGTGCAATGTTAAATGATTCCCTCCTTTATAATATATGGAAGATCTTATCCATTTATATTTCACAAATCTCATGATTAGAAAATAAAGGTTTAAATATCACAGTACACAGAAAATAATACAAGCAATCAACACTTAAAAGTAGTACTCATGCAAAAGGAGATTGCATTGAGACCAATATAATTAGAGGGTTGGTCTTCTTCATTCATGTTGTTGAATTGAGAAATTTGTTCCTTAATTGTGCTATCAAGTATTAGCTCATTTATGTGTTGTTATATGTTGATAACTATTAGACCACGATCTGCACGCTCCTAAAAACTTTAGCTATTAGAGAAGGTCTAATTTTATTTGTGCTTCAACAAGTTTCCTCACGCGTGTTGGTTAGGTTTTGGGCCTAATACTCAATTTTTTTTTTTTAATAATAAGGTTGGTAGAAAGATTTGAACATAGGACTCCTGCTCTGATATCATGTTATGCCCCTTATTGTGGTAGTATTTTCATATATTGTAAGGTTTAGTTGTCCAAACCAAATCATGAGAACACTACAATACAGAAATAGATATTGCCCCAACATCTAACCACTAAACTACAAGATTGTCTTCAAGGTGGTGGGCATTCAAATTTGGGGTGTATCCTAAATGTGAGAAACACTCATTATATTGTTGAGTTGTCAATAGGGACATGATGATTTCATCAATTCAATTGACATAGGATTTAAGTGATGATTTAGTGTCCATTGTTTTATGCAGTTAAAACACCAAATTGTGGGATGGATGTTGTTTGCATAATGTTACCCTTCTGTAAATGTGGGAAATTGTTCTTTAACTGTATGTAGCCAAATAAATGGGGTTTGATACTTTAATCCCTCTAGATCATTTAGGTAGAATGTGCTTCAAAGAAAATAAAATCTTTTAGCAAGTATAAACATCGAAAGACAACATTCTAATGGTTCGAGTACTACACATCCCTCAATTGATCCAGGTGGTTTACGTTGTGTTGTTCCTCAACCCATTGTTGTGTTTTTCAATACATGCTTGGCTAGGATTGAGTTTGTTTTCTCTTAGCCAAATGTACTAAACTTTATTGTTTCCTGATAAAATAACTAAGTAAATAAGTTTTGTCAAAATTTTTGAATGACAAATGTGTCATTATAATTCGGATGTTGTCTATTCCTTTTTGAAACGCCGTAGTAAAACACTCTTATGCGTTATCACACTAACTTCTACTCTTATGTGAAATGATCAAGTGAGAGAGAGAGTGTGTGTGAGCTGCCTAGGCTTCAATTCAGGGTAACATATTGCAGATGTTGATGATCTTTAAAAGCTGGAGTAATGGATTAGTCCACAATAATTACCAGAATACCCAAAAAGGAAAAAAATTAAATGATATTCCCTAATTAATTAGATATTGAAAAATAGAAGAACATCTGCTATAGTCCTGTTTATTATTACTTCTTGAGTAATGGGTACTCCACAAAAATGTCCAGCTCCTCAAAAATTGTAAATAATATGCAATTTTTTTTTCCATCTTTTATTCTCATTATAATGAGGGTATGTTTGGAGGAAATGAAATCATTTTGCCATGATTTTTCTTGAATTTAACATTGAAAATATATTTTTTTTCTTTTTCCAATAGGAGTGTGAAAGGAGTTTACCTCAAAAAGCATTTCCCCGGTCTCCCCTCGACCAAAAGAAAAAAGAAATGAACAAAAGTGAAGAACAAAGGCCACACAGAAAAACACACATAAAAAAGCAATCAAAACAAATAGAAAAGTGAAAAGAGGAAGATGGAATGTGTTTGTCGCATGTTTGAAGGTATGATTGTGAAACAACTTATTTTGGTCTTTTAGCATCCTTTGTGCTACATATCCCCCTCATTGAATAGTTCACTGGAACAACAGACTGTTAGTATGCAATTTTAATGTTGGAGTTGTAGACACAAATGTTTGCATTATTTGGTTGAACTCCAGCATAGAGTAATAACATGATTCTATGCGTGTGTTACATATTTCAGAGAAACAGGTAAGACTGTTCATGAATAAGAGTTTCGTATATTATGCGACTCATTTAACTATTTCTATGTACAATTTCGAATCCTACAGTTACAAGAGTCTTGTACATGGGCAGTGGTTAGATTGGTTTGCTTTACTACTCAACTCCTTTGTCTATCTTTTTGTATAAAGTCTTGTGGTCCATCTCCCCTGGCTTTTTGAGATACTTCCTTTACCAGGATTGCCTTCCTAGTATGTGCTAGTTCTTACCCTTATGTTGATGGTCTATATTATACTTTGCACAATTGGCACTACGAACAAATGTTGATCCTTATGACCAAATGTTTTACTGTTCAGATAAGTTAGTTTATATATTGGAAATACAATGATTAATTAGCAGTATTTCTTGTACAATAAGCATGTTGTTCCTTCTTTAAAATGATATTGCACGATGTAGTCCGCCAAGCCAAGCCACTGTCTCATTTACAGTAAGATATTTTATACGGAATAAGAAAAAGATCGTATTCAGTGAACAAAATTTTCATTCATAATACGATTTTAAAGATAAGTGATAGATTTCGCGAATCTAGCATAGTAAATATAGCTTGAATTGGATCAAACTTATTTCAAAACAACCGGGCAGGAATTTCAGCAAATGGGAATGCCTTGGAACAAACATTCCCTAATTAAGGGGTTTTAAACCAAGAAGTCAAGTTTTCCAGGCATGATGTATATATGTTTGTATGTATCACTGGATCTCTTCTCAGGTATGGCCCACAAGAAGTTTGTGACCAACAAGGGTCCCAATTGTCCAAAGTGGCATAAAGAAATTAACTCTAAAAGATTACAAAAGTTAAAGAGTAGCATCAGCATGGTTGTCTGTTGTGTTCTGGTGGATCCCATGGAATGGGCATGAGAACTGACTTTGGTTTGGGGAATTAAAATTGATCTGCTGACTAATCTAAATCTTGTGCTAGTCAACTTGAGATTGGTCAACGCTCTCATCTGTATATCATAATTGTAACCTTCCTCCTCTTTTCCTTTATTACTAATTCTTCTCGATTATATTTACAATATTCTTCTCGTTCAAAAAAAAAAAATACAATATTCTTGAAAATTTTATAATATTTGTGATTACCTTTTCTCAAAAAAAAAGAAGTTAAGATAATATCACGAACTCGTTACGAACCTACAAAGTCACACATGCTTGAAACAAAGACTATTATTCAAATAACCTCAGTTCAAGTAGTAATATGAATAAGTTATAAATTCAAATGTCCTAAATTTAAATATTGACAATTCCTTGAGGTCAAGTCATTAGGGATTTATTCCTCATAAATAGCGTAGTCCAGCGTGAATGATCTGTCATTGACCTAACCAGTGAGAAAATTAATCGATATACGCATAAACTTATCCAAACACAATTGACTGTTAAAAAAAAAAAAGAGACCATTATTCAGATAACCCTAGGTCAAGTGATAATAGGAATAAGTTGTAAATTCAGATATTCTAAATTCGAATTTTGACAACTCCTTAGGACCAGGTTACAGAGAATTTATTCCTCATGAATACCCTAATCCCGACGTGGATGACCTACCTTTGACCAGACTAAGGAGGAGATTAACTGAGGTGCACATAAACTGACCTAAACATCCTTCTCCGTTAAACCAGGGAAAAAAAAAAAAGACCATTAGTCAGAGAGTTTTCAGCCATTAAGAAATGGATCCTAAGTTGTGAAAGTCCTTTGATATGTTGTTATGTGCGATACAAAATTCGGGGGTCAGGGTCCATACCCCCAACCCTAAGGCGGTCTTGCCACCGATTAATTGTCGGTAAGACATTTTCAGAGAACAAAATGGTTAGGCATCCAGTTGGGACTTTGCCACGTACTATTGACATAAGATTTTTGAGAACAAAATGATTACTTGTCCAAAATTAAACTTAGAAATCCACATCTTTTTTTAAGGTTTTGTTTATTTAGCAGCAGAATGGTAAAAAGTGCAAAAAAGAGAAAATGATAGAAAAAAATAATTTTCTTTCATGCTTGAATTTTCTTACAAATAACTAACTTTTTTTTCTTGTAAAAAACACAAAAAAATGCAAAAAAAGTTGTGATTTATAGCTAACTTCTCATTTTACCCTTATTTTTCTTAAAATATTTTATTAGTTATTAATTTTAAAAAAATTGGTATGAATTTGATTAATCATATGATTTAGCTCAAAAACCTTTGTGTTGGTGATTGTATTAGAATTAGGTTTCAAGCCATTTTTTTTATGTAATTACATTTTTTTTCTTTTTAGACCAATTTAATATAATTAAGGGTAATTTAGACAATTATAAAAAATTTCTTATAACTTCACTTTCTTTCGAACAATAAAATAATTTTTTTTAAAAATTTCCTATAAAATTTTCATTTTAACTAAATACATGTATGAAAATAGATTTTCTATCATTTTCTTTTCTTTCACTTTATTTTCTATCATTTTTACTTTCCATAATTTTTTTGCTCCTAACTAAACAAACCCTAGGGGGGACATTTTTTTTCTCCTTTGTGAAAAGGGTAAGAAAGAGCATTTAATCTGGGCGTGTTTCGATTCTCAAAGACGGATTGGGTTGGATTGAATTTTGAATTCAACCTCATCCAACCCAATGTACAGATGTCGGGCTAGAAAGATTTCAAATTCATATGTATCCTATCCAATCTTGCATTTGGGTAGATAACATGTCAAGTATGTATCCTATACACATGTTTGAAATAACCATTAACCATAGCTTTTTTACTGTTTTGGGGTATATTGGTAAAAAGGATTTTTATCCCGACGGTAGAAAATATATTCCACAGATGCCGTGGGTTATTTTTATTCGGGTCAAAAGAAATTAATGGCTACATTTACTATGTGCAGACTAATTGAAGTCTAATGTTTATCTCACCCATTCTCATTGGACCCCCCCCCCCCTCCCCTCCATTTTTCTTTTCCTATGGGAGATAGCCATGCCAAATTGGTTGAAAAGATTGAACTTTTTTTTGGTCGGTTAAAAAAGATGAGATAAAAAAAAGCGTGTCCAGAGATTACTTTGATAGATTTTAATTATTAGGATCATAAAGTCTATGACTGCGCCCGTTACACCTCTTAAAAATGAATCTAATTAGACTAGCATAACAGTCAATCACTAAGTCCCATTGTGAATTCCAATACTTGAACCTCCAATATTAAGGTGAAAAGTTTTGCCTGTACTCTACTGGACCACATTACTCGATGGTGTTGAAAGATTGAACTTAGACGTATGGTTTGAAAAAAAAAATATTAGATGTAATAGTGATACCACATGACATTGATGATATGATGTTAACCCGTGATATAATACCAAGTAAACTTAGTGGGTTCCACTGTTTTACTAACTAACTACTAATAACTACCTTGTCATTTTAGAATAATGAGGTTCGCCAATCAATCTTTTTATAATTTGTTAGTAGCACTGCATGATAATGATGACGTGATGTTACCCTTACATTTAATATTTACTCAATTTGGAGGACATTAATTTAACGTAGCAAATTATATAACAAAATTATTAGATGATGAACCCACCTCTCTATTTGCTACCATGGCAAAATATCAATAATCTCTTAACATAAGTGTAATGTAACACGGATTTAAAAAGTAGTGCAAAATCCAGTTTATCCCCTCATGGTTTGTGCCTTGATCAAATGATCCCCTATCATTTGGAAATATGCACATCATCCCTTGTGGTTATGGACTAAACTGCAACTCCCATATTTTTTGTCAAAAAAGACGATAGTGGAGTGAATGCACTAATTTGGCGATTGATGAAAAAGAAATCAACTTCCTTCCAAAATAAATATACACAAATGTCAAAAATGACCCTCTAATGCTATGATAAAAGCTTGAACTTTTTATTTCCTTCGAAAGGCTGAAGTACTACCTTTCTGTTAGAGCTAGAGGAACGAAGCTACCATAAAAAGGTAATTTATTTAAGCATGTTTTTTGAGTAATACAATAGCTAATAAATTACTATGATAAAGATTATGTTTTTCTTATTCTAGTTATTTTTATTTAAAATATGTATAACAATTTTATAATAATGTTTCGTTATAATTAGATGTCATACTCGAGCAACTCAAGGGGATAAGAGTCTATGGATTTGAGGTTCAGTACCCAAATTAGTGGGTGCGGGCGTAAAACAATAATCAAAGTGGTTGATTCCGAGAAATCGTCAAAGGGAAGATTGTATTATGTTTGCGGGACTAAAAATTGTGAATTTTGGGCATGGTGTTATCCCATTTAAGTTTCGGGCATCTCGACTGGTATGTCTGCCACTCCAAATGATGATGAAATTGCAAAAATAAGCAATAGGGTGATGATGATTGAAGCTAATCAAGAGGCCATGAAGTCTGAGCAGGAGGCCATGAAGTCTATGCTAAGGAGAATGTTTATTGTATCTGTAATTTGTTTGTCGGTGTTGGTTTTAGTCTTAAGCGAGAACTAAAAACATGTTGTCTATGTTTTGAAGGACTATTTTGTATTTAATGTAATGTGAAGGCGTTTTATCTAATGGAATGTCTATTAAACACAATATTAGACTTCTATATATTACTGGACATATAACCACATATAACCAAAAAGAGCAAATGCTCACAACCATTTCTCATATAACCAAAAGGAAATACATGTTCAATACAATCAAAATAGCACATAGATTGTGCACAATCAAAATAGCACATAGATTGTGCAATCCAATAAGTTGGATATACTTGTTTTGTGCACATTTCCAGCAGGTTGAACAAGTTGGATATACTTGTCAACGACACCATTCCCAGAACATCTCCCAACTGCACCACTCTTATGACCAACAGTGCAAGTTGCACCAGCAATTAAGGCTTGACCAGCAGTGGAGGCAGCAGCAGTTGAGGCAGCAACAGTTGAGGCTGGACCAGCAGTGGAGGCTGCATCAGCACTAGAGGTAGTAGCATTGGAAGCAACAACATTAGAGGCAATAGCAGTATTAGTGAATAACATAGAGTGATGTGCATATTTAGTCCATAACCACAGAGGAGTAATGTGCATATTTCTAAATGATAGGAAGATCATCTGCTTAAGGCACAAACCATGAGAAGATAAATTGAATTTTACCCTAAAAAGTAAACTTAAAGAGTAATGCTACACTAACTAAATTTTGGGACCAAATTTAGAGTCCAAATGACATGACAGTTAATTATTTGAAGTTTTTATTGGGGCTCAAATGACATAACATTAATCAAAGAAGTCCAAGTCAACTGCCATATCATTTGGGCTCTA